CCTACTCCTGGAAGACACCTATTACTTTGAAGGAAGGGTACCAAGTACAAATGTCCATAGCACTTATCTCACTCAGAAACAGGCTACACATTGCATTCAGGAGCAAGTTCACAGATTTTACAAGTAGGGTAGGCTCAGATCTACACAAGTCACTGAGAAAGCCAATGGCAGAACATCACTTTAAAATATTTTTTAAAACTGAAGACAAGCAGGGGACTCTCCTCTCTGTGTAACACAGGCCTACTGTCTACTTAGAAGGGGTCTCAGTTCTTCACTTCTAATCCATCTCTGAAATAGATCCAGGCAAGAGCTTTATCCAACCTTTACAGATTGAAGTCAATGCCTGTGGTAGAAAGCAACCCTGGAGTTGCAGACATCATCTAGATCATCCCTCTAGAGGATTCTCTCAGCAAAACCAGAAAACCTCAACTTCTTTGTGGAACCAGGTGGGGTATAAATGAACATAGATGAAGGGCCGTACGCCACTCCTCCAGCATACGCCTCTCGCAGCTTCCCTTCCTCTGCAAGTCAAAATGAGATTTTAAAAAAAATTTTAATTGCAATAAAATATATGTAAAATATGGCCGGGTTCGGTGGCTCAGCCTGTAATCCCAGGGAGGCCGAGGCGAGTGGATTGCCGGAGCCCGTGGGTTTGAGACCAGCCCGGGCAACTTGGTGAGACCTTGTCTCTACAATAAATCAAAAATTAGCAGGGCGTGGTAACGTGCGCCTGTAGTTCCAGATCCTTGGAAGGCTGAGGCAGAAGGATCGTTGGAGCACAGCAAGTCGAACCTGGGGTGGCCGTGAGTGCACTCCAGCCTGGGCGACAGAGTGAAACTCCAACTCAAAAAAAAAAAAAGTAAAATAAAACACACATAATATAAAACTTATTTTAGCCATTTAAAATGTAGTTGATTGACATTAAGCACATTCAGTGTTGTACAATTAACACCACCATCTACCCATAATACTCTTCTCAATTTTCAAAACTGAAACTCTACATCCATCAATAATAACTCCCCATTTTTCCCCTCCCCCAGCCCCTGACAACCAATATTCTACTTTCTGTCTCTACTAATTTGACTGCTCTGGGAACCCCCATGTAAGTAAAATCAGACAGTAGTTGTCTTTTTGCATCTGGGTTATTTCATTTAGCACAATGTCCTCAATGTTCAACCATGTTGTGGTATGTGTCAGAACTGACTTCCATTTTTTAAAGCTGAATAATAAACTATTACACATCTATATACCACATTTTGTTTACCCATTCAATCGTCAATGGACACTTGGGTTGCTTCCACCTTTTGATTACTGTAAATAATGCTGCTATGAACATGGGCATATAAGTATCTTTTTGAGTTCCTGCTTTCCATTCTTCTGGTTATATTCCCAGAAGTGGAATTATTGGATTATATGGCAATTCTATTTTTAACTTTTTGAGAGACCACCATACTGTTTTCCACAGTGCACCATTTTACAATTTCACCAACAGTGCACAGGGGTTTAAATTTCTCTATACCCTCATCAATGTTTGATACCTTTCTTTTTTAATAGCCATCCTAGTGGGTGTAAAGTGGTATCTCATTGTGGTTTTGATTTGCATTTCCCTAAGACAGTGAGATTTTGCACTAAAAACAGGTCTAGCACAACCAAAGAATAACTTGGGGGGAAAAGAAGTGCTAGTGCTCTCAAAATGCTGTGTTGCCTAGAGGCATTTTTCTCCCTAGCATCCCCATGATAAGAAGCTCAAGAAGCCTAGTTCCACTCCTACTCTTACCATGAGGTTTGGAACAGACAAAACCACTTTTCTTACCCTAAGCAGGTATTAACAGTCCCTGGGAAACCTCAGCCCTCAAGTCAGAAAGAGCTTTAAAAACTGTTAGAGTGCAACAGATATTCATCTATGAAGAATTTTATTGTGAAAACAGCTGAATATAATCTATATTTGTCCCAGCACCTAGAATCAGTCACATAAGCCACAGGTTGCCTACTATATATTCAAATTTGCCTGTTGAACCCAATGCCCGTCATCAGCACCAACAAAAATTCCATGCAAAATGATCTATCTATCTAGGCTCTGCTTCAAATAATCCAAAGGGTGGGGGAAGGATACAAATAAAACAAAACTGACCGTGAGCTGATTTTTTTACAACTAGATGATGGGAACATGAGAATCATTATATTATTCTATTTTTGTATCTTCTCCATTTAAGAAAATAAAACTTCTATGCAGAGGTAAGACATTCCACTTTACACATTTTCATCAACCCTATGAGGCAGAAAACAGGCAGCTGAGATCAGTATTTCACAAGGAAAACATTAAGGCTTATCGAGGTCACTCAGTTAAGGCGAGAATCCAGACTGACACCTATGTACCTAGAGCCAACCCAGCACTCTCCCGCTGCACCCTCCCACTGCACCCCAATTCTCAAGCCTCACTCCACACTGCCCGTTCTTGTGCAAATGAGGACTGCAAATCACCACCAGAACCCAGGAGGGAGTGTCCAGCAGCCCCCCCACCCACAAGGCAGCTGGACTTCCACTCTCATTTCCCAACCAAGCTCTCTCACACCTCATTTTCCTGACTATTCCTGTTTGTTCCTTCCTGTTCCGCCCTAGTGCACACTAACTGAAAAATAATTAACTCTTGACACATACATTGGCAATTCTGCAAAACCCTGATAACACTGTGGTGCCCTTCAACTACCACACAGACTTGCTGCCATGCTGCATTCATGAACTTCACTATTTGAATTTTCATGCTGCAAATGTAATCTTGGGCAAGTTAGTAGAGCTCCTTGAGAGCAAAGAAATCAGTCCTGAAAAGACTCTGAAGAAATGGAGATTACCAGGGCCCCTCAGCCACAGCAGCAGTGCGAGTGTTGCTCTAGCTGTAAAATTCAAGATGATAGTCTGAGGTTGAGGCACAAAGCCAAGCAAGCAAACCCAGGGAAACAGCTGGGCATACAGGTGTGCAAAGTGTTGGGCTGCCTGCCTAGCCCAGGTGATCCTCCACCATACAACTAGCAGGGACTAGGGGGTGGATCACCAAGTGAGGCCAGAGAGCTCTCCTCCAGGTAGGGAGCAATGCCGGTCTGAGAAGCCACATATCACGAGAATGGGGCAGAGTCTCCCATTAGGAGGGACCCACAGGAACCACACTATATGTCCATATGAAATGCCCTATTTATGATGAGGCTGTTGGTGAAAGGCTAGCTGAGCACAGGAAAAGACTTGGGGCATAAGAAGGCCAAGCCATCGAATCCCACCTTCACTCTCCAAGACAGAAAACCCCCAAACACACTGAGATAAATCACCAGGAGATGATGCTGTAAAATCAAGGTTGAAAAGCTGTGAAGTCTTAGTTCCCAAGAGTTCCAGTTCAGATAGGAAACACCAAATCCTCAGAAGCAAACTGTAGTGGAATGGCCACACATTCTATCCCTCCTTCTTCATTTGCCCCCACACAGATACCAATAAGCCATGCTTGCTTAGTGGTTTAAGAGCCTCTGTACATGAGCATGTTCCCAGGCCCTCCTCCCTCAGTGTCTCCTGTCCCTGGACCAATCCCACTGGCAATACACACATGATGATATCTTCCTTAACCCTCTGACCAATTCCAGCCAGGGCCAAATTTTTCCTTTCTTCTTTAAGGCAAGAATCCTTGAAAGAACTATCAAGAATCATCCTTTCACTTTACTTCCTGTTGGCTCCTGGCCAACTCCAGCTGAGTTTCCACCCCCACCCCCACCCACACCCCAAGCACACAGCAGCTCTAGTCGAGGTCACCTTGTCAAGCCATTGCCAATGTTGTAGTCATCCTTCTTCACCTGGCTGTGGTTTAACTAACTGCTCCTTTCTGCCCGAAAGGCTTCTACAACACAAAATCTGCTGGTCTTCCTTTATCTCAAGCCACTCACTCTCAGGAATCTTAGCAGTAGGCTTTCTTCCTCAACCCAGCCTCTGGCATCCCAGGGCTCAATATTCTGACCTCTTCTCAGTCAACACACTCATCTTTGATGTTCTTGTCCAATCCACCCTTTCCTCCCATGGTGACCAAGGCTTTCATCTCCAGGATGGTCACTAACATCTCCGTGAGGCTGGTTAAGAGATAATTCAAACCTACCCTTCTGCCACAAGAATCCCACCTCAGAACATGGTACCACCATCCATCCCTTCACTCAGCAGAGTCATTCCAAAATTAGATCACACCATCCAACTTAAAATCTTCCAAGATTTAAAGACAGAAAATCATTCCAACTACTTTTGGAGACCCGCATGACTCTTTATGACCTGATTCCTGCGTACCTCTGTCCTCATCTGTGTCCCATCCCCCTTACTGAGATCAAGCCACATGACCTTCTTTTTGTCCTTTGCATATGCCAAGATCATTTCAACCTCAGGACCTTTGCAACTGCTGTCCTCTCTGCCTGGAGCTTTCTTCTCCAGACCCCCATTTGGCTGCCTCTTCATTGGTACTCCAGTCTTAGCTTACAAGTCACCTCCTCAGAATGTCTTCCCTGTCTACCCTAACTAAGGAGCTTCTCCCTCACTGCTCTGTTGCTTAAGATGCTAATACCACGCGCTTGGTTAAACATAAGCATCACAAGGGCAGGACTGTACTGTCCTTGTTGATTATTACCTCCCAGAACCTAGGACAGGACCTGGCCCACAGTCAAATGCACAGCAAGTACATTGCTGCCAACGTCCCATTGGGGCATTCTGGGGTAGAGACAGAAGACAGACAAGTTTCTGGGCCACAGCCCCAAGCCTTCCTGAATCCCCAAGACTGGGCTTGCCTTAATCCAGCTTTCAATCACCTTGGACTTCCCCATCACAGCACTTGTCACTGGATCAGTGAGGGCATGGTGCCCCAACCCTGCCCACCACCTTATCCCAGAGCCTCATATGATGCCTGGCAAGTCAAAAGTTATGTAGATAATTGTCACTTACTGAAAGAAGGACTAAACAAGGGAACGTGGCCACTCTCATGCACTTACCCAGAAGACGATGTTGTAGCTGAAAAGGAGGTACTTGTACCAGCAGCTGACCTCGGCATTAGAGTATCTATAATAGTGCATCTTCTGAGAAGCAGAATCTGCAGAGAGACATGGGACTGGTGAGGTGGCAAGTTCAGTTTTAAAACATCTCCCCAAAGCCTGCTCAAACGTAGATTCCAAAAAACTCCAAATCATTTTCCTCATATCCCTTCAACAGTCCAAGCATAGGTCTATTACCAAGGCCAGCTAAGGGCTAGACAAAACTCAAGTTAAGTCAGCTTTCCAAAAAAACAAACAGAAGAATAAGAGGACGGTGAATTCCATAGTCCATGTTCTTCCCACCTACCAGAGCCAACGGAAGAAACGGCAGCTTAACCACAAAGAACTGCTTTTGGGACGAAGACATGAGCGGGCAGGCAGGTTTGGACATGATCCAACTGTGCCCAGTTTTCGAAGAAAGGCCAGAATTAAGGCTCCATATTCATTCATTTAACATTTTCTGAAACAACCTCCCAATCTCAGCCCTCACAGAGGTAAGGGAGGCCACAGCAGCCAGCATTCACACCCGCTCATCCTCCTCTCCCTCTCCAGTTTCCATCTTCTCCTGCCGTCTTCCCTCCCCAGCCTTCTATCCATCACAGATTTGGCCTCTAGGGCTGCACAGACTGAAGGGGGTGAGGGGTGGACTCTATCTATCTATCTATCTATCTATCTATCTATCTATCTATCTATCTATCTACTATCTTTTTGAGTCGGAGTCTTACTCTGCCGTCCAGGTTAGAGTGTGGTGGCACTATCTCAGCTACCACAGCCTCCACCTGATGGGCTCAGGCAACCCTTCTGCCTGTCTTCCAAGTAGCTGGAACTACAAGCACGTGCCACCATGCCTGGCTAATTTTTTTACTTATTGTAAAGATGAGGCTGGTCTCAAACTCTCGGTCCCCCAAAGTGCTGGGATTACAGACATGAGCCACCACATCCAGTCAACATTTTTTTAAATCTGTGCCCATCTTCCCTTACAGTGTTCTACAAAAGGAGAGCGCCATCAAAGGGGACTTCTGAGAGCCTGGCCCACCTTTGCTACTTTCCTTTTTGAACCCCAGTGGTAATCCAGGTAGACCCTTAAGTCACCCACTGTCCCCTGCCCCAACACAGTGGCTGAATGGTGAGGAAAGCAGGGTGCCTCAGGCAGACAGGTGAGACAAGATCTGAGGCTCACAGGGAAGTGCTCCCATGGCAGCTCCCTGCTCACCTCCCACTTCCCAGGGTGAGGAGAGGGGCTGGAAGCAATGGAGCCCAAGGCAAGAACAAATAAGCTTCCCCAATCAGTGAGGAGAAGATCCACCCACAACTGCCAGTGAGAAACCAGTTTCTGCAGACTTCTTACTGAGTGGCTACTTGCAAAACCCCTTCCTTTGAGGTGGCCACAGCAGCCTGGCTGCTGGTCTACAATGTTCTGAGAAAGAGGTGCCAAGAAGGGTCATGAAAGCCACATTCCTCTGGAAATGGATCCTGTGACTGTTCTATCCCTCCCTTCCCATGGTGTGAAATTGACAGGCACAGCCTGGACACCACCATTTGCTCAGCCTGGTCCCTCCTTCCTAGGAAGACTGAGAGGGCAGTCAATACCCCACGGGAGAGCCTGACCTATCTACCTCAAAAACCAGCAAGGAGCAGGGGACGGTCACCGGATAGCCCTCATCCCACCCTCCCCCCTTACACCATCCCACCATCAGAAAAGCATTTTCACAAACTCAACTCCAAGAATGAGCATGAACACAACCACCTATTGCCCAAGGACTCTGAGTCACAAGAACACACACAAGGCCTAAACGCCACCTGGGCCACACAGAGTGGCTGCAGGAAGAACAGGAGCTCTCAGAGAGATATAGGTGACTTCCTTCAGCAACGTGACCTCAGCCTATGCAAGTCCCTGCTCACTCAGGGCCTCACCATTCTCAACTAAAACTGGACTCTTAGTGACCAGTCACTAATGTCATTGGTGTACAGGGCCATCTGGCAGTATCAGAATCATTTATTCTAAACACAGATGCCCGGCCTCCCCTCCAACAAGGTTCTAAAAAGGAGGTCTGGATTGAGTCCCTGAATCTGTATTTTTAAAATTTGTTTTTATTAAATTTTTTAGAAACAAGGTATGGTTTGGTCACCAGGCTCGAGTACAGTGGCACAATCATGACTCCCTGCAGCCTTGACCTCCTGGGCTCAAGCAATCCTCCTGCCTCAGCCTCCAGAGTAGTGGCATGACAGGCAAGGGACACCAGGCCCAGCTATGAATTTGCATTTTTATAAGCTCCCCAGGTGATTCTGATATGCTGACAGGCCCACACCAAGAGGACCAGGTTATCAGTTTGGGCACCAAGGAATGTGGCACTCCCTTTCAGGATCCTGCAAAGGCTAAAGGACCTGTTAGCTACGGTGCAGCCACAGACTGGGGGGTGAGAAGGGGGAGTCTCCTTGTAGGCAACTAAAGGTAATGTTAATTAACATTCACCTGTTTGTGTTTCACAAATTATAGGGCCCCAAATTTATGCATGTAGAAAAATATTTAGTTTTTTAAACCTAAAAATCAAGTAAGTTTATCACAGAGAACAACTTGTCTGGAAACGCCCTATGAGACAGAAAAATGTCCAAAAGTAGTAGAAACTCTGTTCCTTTTATGAATAAAACAATTCTGCATGCACCGCCCTCTTCCTCATGGCTCCTAGAGGAGACTGGAAGGCAGACAGCCATGCCCTTCAGGGAGCTGGGCCTCAGAGACTACAGTGGGCAGATCAGGCACAGTACCTAAATGTGTGAGGATCCCAGAGAGTACTCCTTTGACATCATTTAACACAAGCAGGTAAATCACTCTCCCAGAGGTTTTGATGCAGTAAACAAAGCCAAACTCCCCCTTTCTCCTTGATGGAAGCTTCACAAAAAAACTAACTAATTAGCAAACCTGCCTATCCACTTTCTAAAGTGTTAGTGACTCACTCCTGCTCTCCTAACCAGGGCATTTGCAAAATCGTTCTGCAAAGTGACCATAGTCCCTGGCATTTCACCTTATTTGCTATTCCAATTCATACCAAAGGATGGGAGAATTTAGCTCTGTATCAACTGATGCATTCAATTAACACCAACACCATTTACTTCAAAACACACACACATACACACACAGTGAGAGTGAGTGAGAAAGAGCGAGCGAGAGGAGACTAAGAATATTCACTTCCTAAAAGTAGAGATGGGTAAACTTTTCACAAATAGTAAGTACCACACAGCAGAGAAGAATCTCCAAAAGTTATTTTGTATGCATAGAAACCAATTATCAGGTCCTCAAACTGTCTCAACTCTAAGAATTTATTAATACAAAACAAAGCATTTATTTGGCAAATAGGAGACATGTTTTTCAAAACATCAACTCCTCAAACAAGGACAAAGGAAGAATGATTTAATAGTGTTGAGATAACTGGTTAGCAATATAAGGGGAATTAAATAATAAACAAATAACAATTTAGATACTTAGAGGGTATACTTATGTGCACACCCAGAACACACAGCAGAACAGAGTATTTCAGGTCCATTTTAACCTTCTTCACTTTTAAGGCAACAGGAAAAAAACAAATTATAAGACTACCAATCTAGAACAGATAAGAATTCTAAAAATTCCCATATGACTACAAGCAACATAAAAATAAAAAAGGAGACCGGGTTCGGTGGCTCAGCCTGTAATCCCAGCACTTTGGGAGGCCGAGGTGAGTGGATTGCCTGAGTCCGAGGGTTCGAGACCCGCCTGGGCAACTTGGCGAGAACTCATCTCTACAATAAAATCAAAAAATTAGCTGGGCGTGGTAGTGCGCGCCTGTAGTTCCAGCTACTTAGAAGGCTGAGGCGGAAGGATCGCCAGAGCCCAGCAGGTCGAGGCTGCGGTGGCCGGAAGTGGCTACTGCACTCCAGTCTGGGCAACAGAGTGAGACTCCAACTTAAAAAAAATAAAAAAATAAAATAAAAAAGGAAATGCAGAGGCAATCCCTTGGGGTACCCTCAAGCTTCTCTCTCCTCTCAATAAATCCTCTTTCTAAAAAAAAAAAACAAATAAGTTATCTGCAGCTGCAAAAATTATGACAGAGTAAATATCTGCAACATATAAAAATTCATATTTAATAAACAAAACTATTTTAGACAAATGGATAAAGGATATGGACATTATACACAAATGGAAGAATAACATAATTAACAAATGGATAAGTGTTCACTGTCAGCAGAAACAAAATTTAAAGATAATCCAGAGATGTTATTTTACATTTTATTATTTAACAAAATCACCACTACCATTGTGGCAAGCACATTTAATACTTCGCTGGCAGCAGACAGAACTGGTAATACCCTTTGGTAAGCAACACCAAAAAAACTGGCCATACACTTAATCCAATAAACTCATGACTGAAAATCTACCACAAGAAAAAGAATAAGCATTAAGTATGAAACATGAACATCATGGTTTGCAATTAGTGAACAATTTGTAATCATGTGCTTATAAGCTTAAAGGACAAGTGGAATAGAAGAGCATGAAAATGGCTGTATGAGGAGGTGGACTTAAAAGTGATTTTCCAAAAAAGGTTTTCACTGTCACATTTATCGTTACCACCTTTGTATTATAGATACAAATGAGGGTCACTGCTGGTCAGGGGTGTACCTGCTGTTCTGCAGTGTGGTAAGCCCAGCAGGCAACATAAGCAGGACTCCTCTACTTCTGTACTGTGACATTCCCACTGCCCTTTTTTTAATTGAAAAAGGAGCCCCTGCTCAACTGTAAAATATCTGAACAATTCAAAAGTGTGAAAAGTAAGCTGGCAATGAGATGTCACTAAACAATGGTTTTTAATTCATTTGACCAGGGCCCAGTTAGAAATACATTTAACAAAAATCGACCCAACATGCACACACTCATATGCACAACTAAAAAGAGTTTCGTGGAACAAGACTTCCCTTAATCACATGCCATGAACTCTAGATTTGCTTGTGCTGATTTTTCAAAATTCTGCCTGCACATAATTAATCTAAGAAGCAACTACTGTAAACACTGTGTTGAGAAAAACAG